GCTGAGCAAGTAAACAAGCTTTATACCCCACAGAATCACTGTCACTGTCCTCCCATTGTTCGATTTGCTCGAGCGGGCCCAGTAATGTCTCCGTTGTGACAATTGTTACTGTGTTTGGCATTTCAAATACGTCACCAGAAGCTTGCCAGGCTTTGCCGTGCGGGTGAGATACTCTCGGTAGCTTGCCAGGCTCTCCGAGAGGGGCGGAGGAATCGAACTTGGGTCGGCCATGTTGGCCGCTTGCAAGGCAAATGCCCTACCCGTTGTGCTATCGCTCCAGCCTACCCACAGAATCACTCAGGAAAAAGTCTCTCCCCTGGATTGCCCAGTGCGACCCCCTCCCCACTCTAAGCAGGCACAGCAGGTCTACAAACAGGCCAATACAGCCACATCCAGACACAGGCCCTACCTGATCCCTGCAGCATCATTACTGCACTCCAGTCCTCCAGTCTGGATGTGATCACATGTGTTACTGCAGTCATTAATATTATCTCATATTACTGCATTCCTCGATGTGATCTCATCTGTTACTGTAGTCCTAGATGTGATCTCATGTTACTGCATTTCTGTTGATGGATATTAAGGCCTTTGCTCTGCTTTTGCCTCTGCCAGTTGTGGATCTGGCCTCTTTGATTCCCACCAAGTGCCTGACGTGGAGCATGTCAGCCATACTCCTAGAGGTCCTGCATTGGGGAGAGTAGATGTGTCACTACTTTGAAATTCAAAAACTGCCCTCTAAATCCTAGGGATTATAAGACCTACCACCTTCACCAACCATATCACTCATCTTTGCCAGCTTGGTCAAAATGGTCTCTTCCCACCAACTATCTGACAGTAAACATCAAGAAGCTTAGACTTAGGGCCAAGGCAATAGTAGAAGCAGCAGGGTGCTTGCCTTGCACACAGCTGATGCAGGTTCAATCCCTAGCATCCCATACGGTTCCCTGAGCACTGCCAAGAGTGGCCCCTGAGCACACAGCCAGGAGTAATCTCTGAGCACAGCTGGGTGTGGTCCCAAAAACCAGAGAAAAAAAAAAGGCCTAGATTTGTACATACCCTTGAGACCGGAAACTCTATTTGTAGAATATACCATTTTGGGGGTCTGGGGTGGGGGGAGGGTTTGGGCCATAACTGATGATGCACAGAAATTATTCCTGGTTCTGCCCTAAGGAACAGCTTCCTGTTGGTGCTCAAGGTACCAAACGTGGTGCCTGGAATCACTCAGGTCAGCTGCATGCAAGGCAAGAGCCCTAAGCATTGTATATCTCTCTGGCCCCACAGAATATACCTTTTAAAGGAAGAGTAATGGGGATGGTCGTAATGATCCCTGTAGCATTTAGGGAACAGGAGCCTAAAATGCATGTTATGCATAATTTTTCATTTTTTGGTACAAGTGAAAATAAATCTATTCTTTCATAAGCATTCCAAATACACAGACATGGAATAAATTTCTCTATCACACCTAATTCTCAGTGGCTTTCAACCATCAATATATTAGCAAGTATACTCTTCAATATTTTTTATAACTTTGACAGAAAAATATGCAAACAATGCCAAAGCACTTGCAATGATTTTCCTTTTAATATTTTACTATAAGTTAAAGCACACAAAACGATGTCAGAGCTATAGTATAGCTGGTAGGGTGCTTGCCTTGCAGGCAGCCAACCTAGGTTTGATTCCCAGCATTCTATATTCACCTGAGCACCACCAGGAGTTAATTCCTGAGTGCAGAGCCAAGAATAACTCCTGAGCATCACCGAGTGTGGCCTAAAAGCCAACAATAATAAAATTTAATTAAAAATTAATTAGGAATTACTCCTGGTGATGCTTGGGGGACTTTATAGGATGCCAAGGATTGAACCCCGGTCAGCTGCGTGCCAGGCAAGCGTCTTACCTGCTACAGTATTGCTCTGGACCTGGAACCCTAAAACTTTCAAGTTAGTTGCAGGTGGGACTAGAGGCATTTCTTGGGTCGCTGTGGTGTAGTGAGACCTCACTCTGAATACCAGAGCCCAACCTGTCTCTTTCGTTCTTACGAAACTACTTGCTAAAAAAATAAAAGAAGAAAAAAAGGAGAAGGATGGTCCTGTCATGTCTGTAATATCGGCATTTGCAACAGAGGCCACACCTGCAGCCAGGTAACAGCCAGCCCTGAAGCCAGAATCAATCCCTAATTCCTACAATCCACGAATGGGATCTTCCTTGGGAACAAGGTCTTGGCAAAAGTAAACCTTGAGGAGGTCACATACATTTTCCGATAGGCTAAAATTTCAGTGACTGCACATGTAGAGAGCTAAAGATTACATGGAGATGAGGCAGAGCTTGGGCAGTACAGTGACAGCCAAGAACCTGAATCAGTTACTGGAGGTCGCAAGGGGTGAGGTGGATAGAGATGGACACAGAGGACACTCTGACCTGGCCCTTAGGTGAGTCGTGTTTTCAGCCACTCCATCAGTGGCAGTTGTGACATCCTGTCCCCACCTCCCCAGAAATACAAGCCATCATATTCCTCTACTTCTGTGTCAGAATTTCCACACCTTACCCAAAGACCCCTCCATCTGCCCCATGGCCCAGGCCGCCCCAGCTGGGTGAGTGGCCCAGGGCCCACCAAACGCAGGCAGTGAGGAGGAGAGCTGTCGGGGCCTCCCCTGGCTGCCCCAGGAGATTTTATACACAAAGGTATGAACACCAGGAGGCAGTGGGTATTGGATCACCATAATATCTGATCTTCACATTGTAATTAATTTTTCAAAATCTTGCAAGATTATTATGTTCTTATTATTTACATTGGAACATTTGTATCTATGCTTTACAATAGGTAAATTAAAATTCAGAGATTTAAATTTTTTAATGATACATAGCTTGTGGGGCTGGAGCGATAGCACAGCGGTAGGGCGTTTGCCTTACAAGCGGCCAACATGGCCAACCTGAGTTCGATTCCTCTGCCCCTCTTAGAGAGCCCGGCAAGCTACCGAGAGTATCTCGCCCGCATGGCAGAGACTGACAAGCTACCCGTGACATATTCGATATGCCAAACACAGTAACAACAAGTCTCATGATGGAGACGTTACTGGGCCCGCTCGAGCAAATCGATGAACAACGGGAGGACCGTGACCGTGACCGTGACATAGCTTGTGGGCTGGAGCGATAGCACAGCAGTAGGGCGTTTGCCTTACACGCGGTCCACCCAACTGACCCGGGTTCAATTCCTCCACCCCTCTCCGAGAGCCCAACAAGCTACTGAGAGTGTCTGGCCTGCACAGCAAAGCCTGGCAAGCTACCCGTGACGTATTCAATATGCCAAACACAGTAACAAGTCTCACAATGTAGATGTTACTGGGCCCGCTTGAGCAAATCGATGAAAAACAGGACAGGGACAGGGACAGTAACCATGACATAGCTTGTACAGCGGGTAGGGCATTTGCCTTGCATGCAGTGAAACTGGGTTCGACTCCTCCATCCCTCTCGGAGAGCCCGGCAAGCTACCGAGAGTATCCCACCCGCACGGCAAAGCCTGGCAAGCTCCCCGTATTAGATATGCCAAACACAGTAACAAGTCTCACAATGGAGATGTTACTGGTGCCCGCTTGAGCAAATCGATGAACAATGGGAGGACAGTGCTACAGTGCTACCCAAAGACCTTAATGACACTTTTCCTCCCTAGTTTTGGAATCATACTTGGAAATCCTTTGGGGGTGGGTCTCGGAGGGAACCAAACCCAGAGCTCCTACGGGCAAAGTGCATGCTCCCGTCCATTGAGGGGCCCCAGACAGTAAGAGTATCCTCTTCCTCTTCTGTCCACACCAAGCGGTACTTAGGTTCAAACCTGGACTGGACGTGTGCAAAGCAAGTGCCCTATCCCTGTACTATCTACCAGTACTCTTAATTCCTGTGGTATGAGACAGGCTGGGAAACTCTGAGAGACTAAAGCCTTTCTGAAGAGACTATCCTGAAGGGGGAGGCACAGCCCTTCTTGCAGCCTGACTGCTCTTCCTGAGTGCCATGGCCCGGAGGGGCCTTCCTGCCCCAGAGCCTCTCGGAAACCACAAGCCGCCCTCACTTCCCCAGCTCTCCTCTCCTGGGCCCTCTAGGGGCCAGCTGGGTCCAGGTTTGCACTGTCCATCCACATGGCCCATTTTTTTTGGCATGCTGTTGCTTTCAGGACACTCCCCACCCACTCTCCAGCCCTCCCCTGAGGTGACATCTGCCCATCACCATCTAGCACAGTGTCCTTCCTCCTCACTCATCACTGCGCAGCAAGTTCCTCTGTGCACACTTGACGGCCGTGACACCCATCGTGGGCAGAACCAGGGCCCTTGGGTACAGACTGGGAAAGTGGGCATGGAGGGGGTGCAGAGGCAGAGCCCAGCCCTTCCTGAAGCTCTATTCTCCGTGATCGTAGATACATGTTTCTGACAGAAAGCAGGGAAAGGAGCAGAGGTCCCAACTGTCATTATTCCAGGGAATGCCGCAAGGGTCATGCACATCCTGCACGGACCATGTGTGACCTCCCCACGCCCCCTGAACATTGTGTGACCGCTCCAAGTCCCCACACTGTGTGATCCCCATGTGACCCCCCCCAAACCCCTGTGAACACCATGTGACCCCCCACACCCATGAACATCATGACTCCCAAACCACTATGAATACAGTCTGACTTCCACACCCATGAACACTGTTACACCACACCCATGCACACTATGACCCCCACACCCACGAACACTATGACGCCCACATCCAGGAACACTGTGTGAACACCCTCCTGTTCAGTCCGCATCTAGGGCACCTTACCTGCTGCACCAGGCCCAGTGTGACCCCAACCCCAGGGACAGCAGCACAGCACCCCTGGGCCCAGGCTGAGAGGCACCCGCCTTGTCCGAGACTTGACACTGCCCAGATTAGAGAATGTCCCTCCTGCCCAGTATGCCCAGCTGGGGCAGTCACCGCCTAGAGGACACTCCCACAGACTGTCACACGGAGCCCTGGGACAGAGACTGGATTCCAGGCTTTATTTGTCCCCGCCCGTCAGGTCCCCTCAGCACTGAGGAAGAGCCTCTTGTGTGCGGTGTTGGTGTAGGGGTGCCAGCGCCACTCCACGTCGGCTGTCGCCTCCTGCTCCAGCGTGCCCAGGCGGATCATGTACACTGAGGAGGGAAAAGAGTTACCCCCGGCCACAACCCCGCTCTTCCCGGCCCGGCCAGGGACAGACGAGACTCACACTTCAGCTCGAAGCGCGGTCCGACCTCCGTCAGCTCCACATTGCGGTGGTCCATCTTCTTGTACACGTGGTGCCTGGGTGAGGGGCAGACAGGTGAAGGCTGCGGAGGCAGCTGTGCCAGGAACTACACAGCGTACACCCAGCAGTCAGAGGGCAGCAGCACACCTCCCAACACCCAGCTCCACATACGGTCCCCGAGCACTGCGGGGGACGGCCCCCAAACCAAAATAATAAATAAATAAAGCAAAATACTCGAACCGGAGCGACAGTATGGGAAGTAAGAGGATTCCTTGCCTTGGATGCAGCCAAACTGAGTTTGATCCCCAAATGGTCCCAGGATGATACCTGAGCTCTCCTGTCCAAGGTTTACTCCTGGGTCAGGGTTTTGCTCTTGAGCCAGGTGTGGTCCCCAAACCAAAATAAACAGAGCAAACGACTCAAACAGAACAGCGACTCAAACAGAATAGCGGCATTCAGAGTTAGGGTGGCCTCCAGGGGCCCGGTCTGGGACATACCGAAAGGAGATATAGTCATCCTGGTTTGCGAAGGTGATGACGCGGCGACTGTCGTCTTTGGGGACAGGGAACAGGTATCGAAGTATGTCAGAGACCTGGGGAGCAGGGAGGCAGAGCCGTGAACGCCCGGCCCGGCCCGCTCTTCAGGTCCACCCGCCACCCAGGGCCCCCGACTCACGCGCTTGCCCAGCCGGGAGGAGAAGCCGTGCAGGATGAGGTGCGGCTTGGCCTCGGACATGGTGCCCAGGTCGGGGATGTCGTGACGCATGACCACGTTGCACAGTGTGAAGTAGGCGGTGGGCCCAAAGGGCAGGTGGCTGACAATGAGGCCCACTGGGGGGCGGGGGACAGGCTTTCAGCGACCTGCCTGACCACAGGCCCCTCACCTGCCCCGACCCCGTAGCCCCTCTGATGCCCGCAGCCTCACCAGGCGTGCCCCTGTGCTCGTGCACCACCAGCAGGTCTGTGACTCCGTTGGCCTTGCAGGCCCGCACGAGGGCGCCCACCTCATGGCGACCACGGTTCATGCGCTGGGCGCCCGGGAACACCAGCTTCAACTCCTGGACACGGACACGATCCAGTCAGCAAGCTCCCCCCTTCCCCCTCACGGCTCAAGGCAACACCTCAACCCTTCCACGCTGGTACCTTGGCAAACATCTTGAGGCGGGAACTGGGGTCACGGGAGGTCGTGATCATGATTTTGGGATCCTCCACCCCTGCCCATCGGTATTCGTCATCCATGTGACTGGTGACACCTGATGAGGGAATGAGGACCAAGAACTGGACATTACTGGGGAAGTTACACACTAACGTGGGGGTGGTCGACTCTTTCTAGAGAAACACAGGCAATGCCGTTGGTGATAGATGGTCTACACTGCCCTGGGTTTGGAGGGTAGGGCAATGCCTCCCACACCATGAGGTGTGAAATACAGGGAGGACAATGCCACAATACTGTCTACGATGGATGGTCTACAGTGGGTGTGGAGGGCAGGGCAATGCCCCCCCACACTGTGAGGTGTAGAATCCTAGGGAGGACAATGCCACAGTACTCCCAGTGATGGGTGGTCTATATCTGCATGGGGTAGTGGGTGGCTCTGGGCATTTCAAGTACGGGAAGTGGGAACGGAGCAGTGGACACCAGCTGCCCGGAGAGGGGAGAGAGGGAACAGAATGGCAAACATCAGGTGTCCCTGGAGCAGGGAGAGGGTGCAGAGCAGAGATGCCAGTCACCCCAGCAGAGCTCACAATCCAGTGGGCAGGATTCTCAGCAGCTCAGAGAACCGCATAAAATCTGGGTGTCAGGAAAACAGGACCAAGAGCCTCAGGGAGGACCTCGAGGTAACATCCAGCCAGCGTTACAAGGACAGCTGAGGGGACAGTTCTGGAAGCAGGTGCAGGGAAGGAAGCAGAGGCCAGGGGAGGTCACCTTCAGCGCCAGCATCGTCGAACTCCAGGGACTTCTGCAAGGCCAGAGCCTCCCGGCGCAGTTCCGTGGGAATCAGGCGGTTCTCTGGGGGAAGAGGGGCCAAGTGAGACACAAAGGTAAAGGTAAAGGTAAAGGCCCTCCCGTTGATCGTCGATTTACTCGAGCGGGCCCAGTAACGTCTCCATTGGAGACTTTGTTGTTACTGTGTCTGGCATATCGAATACTCTCGGTAGCTTGCCGAGAACAAGGAACTATCAGCAGCTCTCGGCTGACGTAACCCTGTGGTCTGTCAATCAATCTATCCACAAGCTAGAAAAAATCTTTCTTTGTGTTCTCTTTTCTCTTGTGTTTTTTGGGCCACAACTGACGAAGCTTAGGGATGACTCCTGACTCTGCTTCACTCCTGGTGAGCTCAAGGGGCCATATAGAGGTGCCAGGAATCGAACACGGGTTGGGCGCATGCAAGGCAAGCACCCTGCCTTCTGATAACCCTCTACTATCTCTCTGGCCTCTCAAAAGACCTCTCTTAATCTTTCCTGATCAGGAATGGAGACTGGGGGAACCAATTCACATATGTCCTCATGCCCAACTAAGCGAAAGCCAGGGGTGCCTGTGTTGTTTCCATTGTTTCGTGAGTCTTAGGGTTTGATGACTTGCTTTACAGCCATAAGTATGACTTACTTATGCAGTCAGAACAATTTTTTTAAAAAAATTTTAAACATTAAATACAAAGTTCTCTGTATGAAGGTCTACCGGAATCTTTGAAACCCTCTGACAGTGAAAAGGTAGCTGAGATGCTCTGAGTCAAAAGATTTCCTCTGAAACGTTGGAGCTGGCGGAGACAGTCACTTGGAGCACAGAGCTGAGTGCAGGCACGAATCTCAGCATGGCCTGGGGAATCTTCCAGTTAGAAAACAGGTCTTAGGGGGCTTGAGCAATAGAGCACAGCTAACCTGGGTTTGATCCCTGACACCCCACATGGTCCCACGAACTCTGCCAGGCGTGATCTCAGAGCCAGGAGTAAGGCCTGAACAGAGCAAGGCCTAGGGTATAGAAAAGCAGAGAAAAGTTCTTAAACAACGCCACGAACCCAAACTTAAAGTCATTTCCTAAATCTGACCAAAAGAGACACAGATAATTCCCAAGGGCTGGGAATAGGCCTTAACTTACAACTGAAGCTTCACCCACAGTTATGCTCAGTTTTACCCAGCCGCAAAATGAATGCAAACATTTTGGGAGCCAAGTTCTCGGAACACAAAGAACAGATGCAAGGAAACAGGCATCTGATGGTTAGGGGTTGTCCTCCTTCACAAGAAGGACACAAAGGACAGTGGATGGCGAGGCGAAGGAAAACAGAGAACAGTCAAGATCTCAGAAGTTTTTGAGTAGCAATGAAAAAAAAAGTATCCCATTCATTTTACTTCTATTTTCTAAAATCACAGATTGGGTACAATAACACAAATTGTAGCATCTTAAAAAGCCCCACTGCAGTTATAGTGATTTTTTTTTTAAATCAATTTTTGTGCAATTGGAAAAATTTAAAAGTGCAAAGGCCATATAATCTTTGTACATAAAACCAGTTGGAGGGCTGGGGTTAGAGCAATAGTACAGCGGGTGAGGTGTTTGCTTTGCACGTGGCTGACCTGGAATCACTGACATCCCATATGGTCCCGTAAGCACCTCCAGGATTATTTCCTGAGTAGCACTGCACTGTAGTACTGTCCTCCCATTGTTCATCGATTTGCTCAAGCCGGCACCAGTAACATGTCCATTGTGAGACTTGTTGTTACTGTGTTTGGCATATCGAATACGTCACAGGGAGCTTGCCAGGCTCTGCACTTTGGGCGGGATACTCTCAGTAGCTTGCCGGGCTCTCTGAGAGGGACAGAGGAATTGAACCCAGGTCGGCGGCATGCAAGGCAAACACCATACCCGCTGTGCTATCGCTCCAGCCCCCCAAAAAAGTAAAAGGGGCTGGAGAGATAGTACAGCGAGTGTGGTGCTCCCCTTGCAAGTGGCCAACCCAGATTCCATCCCTGACATCCCATACTGGATGCCCGGTCCCCTGAGCATCATCAGGAGTGATCCCTGAGTGTAGAGACAGGATTAACCCTGGGTCATCACCAGATGTGGCCCCAAAACAAAACAAAACAGTTTTTAAAAGTCTAGCTGTAAAGTGCGAAGGTGAAAATCTGACTTTCTCATCCATGAAGGAAATTCCTCCATGTGAGAAAACTCAACAGGGAATCCCTGCCCCCACGTCCCGCTACATCCCTCCCTCCCCCATCCCAAACCCTGGGCCAAACCACTCTGCGTCCCACCACCCACCAAAGGAAAACACAAGCCCTGGACTGAAAAATGAGAGAGCCCATCTGAGAAGGCCTCAGAGGAGGCAGTGTCTGTGGGACCATTTCCAGGGAAACCAACACTCCAAGGTGGTATCAATTTCACATCTTACTTCTGAACATCAATGAAAAGCAATCAAATATTTATGGAGGATTAAAGAAACACAATCCGCTTAATGCAGAAACTTAAAAATGTTCCCCAACAAACTGGTTCTTGATTGTTGTGGGAAGAAAAAAGGAAAATGAGGTTAAGTGGTTATAAAGAAAATCATAATTAGTGTTAAAGGGCTGTAAAGGAAGTTCACAAAATTGAACACAGAAAAGAAAACTACTGAGTTATAAGGTCTGAGTAGGCCACAGCATTGCTATCAAGTGCGAAGTGTCCTGTTGCTCCTTCTCCACTATGTTTACGCCCCAGCTGAGCAGCCTCAAGAGTCTGAGAACAACCTGTAAAACAGCGCTATCAGACCCAGAACCAAAACGGTCCAGCTGGGCTGAGCCTGTTTCCATTCGTGATAAATCACTGTGAACCCCAAGCATGCATTCCTTATTGTGCCTGGACATTAAGAAGTACATGCCCATTACTTTATTTCTTTGGAATTGCTATTCCATAGTTAAATTTTTAATTATCAAATCTTTTTTTTTTTTAAATTGAATCACCAGGCGATACACAGTTCATGACCTGGTTTCAGTCATACCATGTTCCATCACTCATCCCTCCAGTTTTGCGCAGTCTCTTCCCCTCCCCTTCCTTCTGATTCCCATTACTTTTTTTTTTTCTTTTTGGGTCACACCCGGCAATGCACAGGGGTTACTCCTGGAGGTGCTCAGGGGACCACTGGCATGCTGGGAATTGAACCAGGTTGGCCGCATGCAAGACAAACGCCCTACCCGCTGTGCCATCTCTCCAGCCCCTGATTCCCATTATTTTACATGGGAACTTTAATATAGAAGCTTCCTACACTAAAACTACCCAAAAGAATGTTCCCCTTTTCCCTCACTGTAACACAAGCAGTAATTACCTTTTAAGTCAGTAATGCTTAAACTACTCTTGCCTATACAAAACTGGTTACTATCTTTGTGATCAGATGTCCGTCCTCCAAAGGTTTTTGAAACCAGTGCTATTTCAGTACAAACTGTTAGTATTTTCCCTCCAGGAACTCCGTTACTTTTAAATGTCTTCATTTTGGATTGCTTTCACATCACTGTGTCTAGTTCAGTTAGTGGGTGGCAAATTTCAAATCTGTTTATTATTCACAGGACAGAGAATCCGGAGGTACAGGGATTCTGTCTTTTCCGAATGTTCTCGCCAAACGGGGCAGAAAGATTCATGTGTGGTATTGAAATGTCATCTTCCAAACTTAACCGCAAATAAACTTCAGTTGTACATGAGCTAACAGCTTAACACTGTTGTTAACATGTTAAGAACAATTAGCAGGGGAATCATAACGACAGAAGACACAAAATATTCATTACTTTCTAATGAAAGTAGTAAGAAAAAACCCCGGGCAGCTGATTGACAGGGCCATACAAAAATTAAGAATCTGGCAGGAGCGATAGCACAGGGGGGAGCGCGTTTGCCTAGAACGCAGCCGAACCAGGTTCGATTCCCAGCATCCCATATGGTCCCCCAAACACCACCAGGACAGGTTCCTAAGTGCATAGGCGGGAGTAAGCCCTGTGCATCACCGGGTGTGACCCAAAAAGTCGAAAATAAATAAATAAAAAGACTCTGGTGGGGCTGGAGAGATAGCATAGCTGGTAGGGCGTTTGCCTTGCACGCGGCTGACCCGGGTTCGATTCCCAGAATCCCATATGGTCCCCTGAGCACCGCCAAGGATGACTCCTGAGTGCAGAGCCAGGAGTAGCCCCTATGCGTCGCTGTGTGTGACCCAAAAAGCCAAAAAAAAAAAAAAAGAAGACTCTGGGAAGAAACACTCATTGTAAACAAACAATATCGTAAAGCTGTGAAAATTGGGCACTGTCATTTGAATTGTCATTTGACAAGCGATTCGTTCCATCGCGAAGGACACTTGCAAACCAGAAGGGGCATCTGCGAACCCTGAAACTAAACCGCTGACACTAGCGCGGAGGGCTGAGGGAGGGTCCCGCGTACCTTCGAGCGCGCGCCGGACCTTCTCCTTCTTCTCCTGGGCCGTCCGCTGCGCTTCCTCGCGGGCCTTGCGGTACAGGTACTCCCGGCGGAGCCGGGCCTCGCGGCGGAGCTGAGACACCACGGTCAGCCTCTCGGGCCCCGGAGCCCCCCGAACCCCCCGCCGCCCCGCCGCCCCCCGCACCGAGCCGGAGCATCCTTCCTACCATCCTGCGCGCCGCTCCACGTGGGTCCAGGAGCAGCGGGGCGCGCCGCTCCCGCGACGAGCTTGCGATCCTGCTTCCGCCCTCAACCAAGAGGCCGTCAGTGGCGTCACCGCGCCGTGGTGCAGGAGCAACTACCCAAAGTTAAGATGGCGGACCGTGAGTGGCTCGCGCCGCGATTGGTCGGTCTGGCCGCGCTTCCGCGTCACGTGGGTGCCTGCCTCGTTAGCGGGTCGGCCGCAGTAAATCTCACTGCCGTCAACTGCCGCAACGCACGGTGTGCAATTTTTAGGATGTCAGGCTGATAAAATAATCACAACCTGCGGCAAGAAGCAGCCCAGCAACTTTAAAGGGCAACGTACCGGAGGGTCGTGGCGCCTTTTGGGGTGTCTTCAGACCGCTGCTCCCCTAAAATGGTCGCGTTACGTTTTTGCCATCCCTGCATCAATGCAGCTGCTCAGTATAAAATAAATATAAATATAAATTTATTTTTATAAATAGTCTTAGCAGTCGATCTGCTCAGTATAAATAAAATAAATGATTGTGGGCCTACTACCAGGGCAGGCTTGAGGGGCAGTTCGGAAAGTGGGGTCAGTGATGGAGGGAAGCTGACGGTGGTGGTGGGATGGGGACTGTTATGTTGAATGCCTGCAACAAGTCATGGACCAGGTGTTTAAACCGTGTGTAGAGGGGGGGAAATGCAACCGCTCAACTGGGCCAGGTTCCGGCCGAGGGGGGCTGCGACTCCCAGGAGCTAACGCTCTGGCCAATGGGGTTGCGTCCTTGGCGGTTACCGGGGCAACAGCCGCCGAGGGCCCGCCCCTGGCGTGGCCCTTCTGGCGTCTATTGGCTGTCACGTGATCGCGCTGGGTCGTGATTGGCCGGCGTGCGAGACAGCCATGGCGGCGGCGCCGGGGCTGCGGGAGGAGATGGATGCGCTGCTCCTGCAGCTCTTCAGGGACCTGGAGGAGTTGGAGGCGAAGCGCGTGGCGCTGAACGCCCGCGTGGAGGAGGTGGGAGCCGGGCCGGGGGGGGGGGGCGGCGCGCGGGGTGGGCCGGCCTCTCACGCTTCCCTCCGCAGGGCTGGTTCTCGCTGTCCAAGGCCCGCTACGCCATGGGCGCCAAGGCGGTGGGGCCGCTGCAGTACGCGGCGCGCATGGAGCCGCAGGTCTGCGTGTCCACCTGGTGAGCGCGCGCGGGCGGCGGGCGGGCCGGGGCCGGGGCCGGGGCGCGGGGCCCCAGCGCCCAGCCTCCTCCCTCTCGGTTTCCAGCGAGGCCCAGGACGGACTGCACAAGTTCTGGGTGGTGAAAGCGAGCTCCCAGGCCCCCGAGGAGGTGGGGCCCCGCGATGCAGGTGAGTGCGGCGGAGGCAGTGATTTTATTGAGGCAGTGGCAATGCAGGGGGCTTCCCGTTCTTTATTAGAGTATGCAAATCATTAAGCAATTACGGAGATAGACACTTTATAGGCAAGGGCCTGTGCATATGAAGATATCCGTATAAAACTGAAGGTTCTCTCAGCCGAGCGGAACGTGCCTCTCGCCAGCTTCACGCAGACAGGTTTATAGCACTGTCGCTGTAGCACTGTCCTCCTGTTGTTCATCGATCTGCTCCAGCGGGCACCAGTAACGGCTCCATCGTGAGACCTGTTGCTGCTTTTGGCATATTGACTACGCCAGGGAGCTTGACAGGCTCTGCCCGTGGGGGCGGGATACTCTCAGTAGCTTGCCCTGCTCTCCCAGAGGGACGGAGGAGTCAAACCCAGGTCAGCTGCGTGCAAGCCCTACCCGCTGTGCTATCGCTCCAGCCTAGACAAAACTATAATGTCAGTTTATCATACATGAGACAAGGATCCCAGAGTTGGAGGGCGTGTCGCCTTCATTATGTACAGGCGAAATGGGTGCTTAAGTGTGTGGCCTTGTCACTGATAAATAATAGTATCATCTGCTGGCCTCCTGACACTGTGAGAGTGGACAGAATTTCTCACTTGATCCGCAGGCAGAGGGTGGGCTTCTGTGGCATGTTGTTTTCTAGAACACAGAAGCCTAGGGGAGGGTTTTCCAAGCAGCAGTATGTTTCAGGATCATGAGCTTAAAGAAACTTCGCCATTGTCCACAGCACACAAGGGTCAGACCCTGAGACCCCCCAGCCTTTCTCTTTCCAGCGCTCCGTAGGCGAAAAGGGCTCAACAGTGCTCCAGAGCCACCATCCTCCCCAGCCCCCCAAGACCCTCTAAACTGGTTTGGAATCCTGGTTCCTCACAGTCTGCGCCTGGCACAAGCCAGCTTCCGGGAGGGTAAGTGACCCCTGCACACCAGCCCATAGTCACAAAAGCCCCTTAGGTCTTCCAAAGGGAGCATCTGAGCACTAATGCTCCTCCAGGGTTGAGTATGAAACCCCCAGCTAGGACTGGGCTTAGACAACCAAATGCTTTTCAGGTTTTATTTCCATCGCAGGCATCTGCTGCACATCCACTGTGTTGTGTGTCGGTTGTTGGCTGTAGTACAGGCTCGGGCTAGATATCGGGGATATAGTAGGAAATGAGAAGAAATACTCGCATCGAATCACTGATGGGAGAACAACAGTGTGCAGATACATAAGTATACCTGAGTGGCAGGTGGTGAGAATGAGGACGAATCAGAAGACGGTGAAGTGGAAGCAGGAGAGAGAGGCTGGGAGGCTATTTTGTGAGGGTGAGGCCTGGAGAGACCTTGAGGACAGGAAGGCAGGAGCCCTGCGGGGGATCAGTACATCATTTGTAGAGTAGTACTATATACAGAGGGACCAGCAGGGGCAGCAGGAAGGAGGTGAGGCGTGTCAGAGTGGGCTGGGCCAGGTGGTCTGAGGATTTGGGGAGTGAAGGGTTGAGTGTCTCTGAGCAGAGAGGGGTGACGGGATTCTCCAAAAAAGAGCTGAGCGCTGAGAGAGGCAGCAGGTAGCCAGCTTGCTGTGTACAGGTGAAGCAGCTTGAGGAAGGTGTAAGGCAGGAGCCTACACCTTGCCCTAGGATTTGTGACTAGTGGGGAGGAAGGGGAGGAAAGTGAGAGGTCATGCAGGTGGGGCGCAGTTCCTCCCGCAGTGAACGTGGCTGTATCCCTAGTGCTACAACTTAGAGACTGGGCACACGATCTGGAGTTTGGAAGAGATTCCAGAATCCAGCACATGAGGCAGGGGTTTAAGTTCCTGAGTTTTGGGTTCAGACAGTTGCAGCATTCACACTTCGGTGGGTGAGTGCAGCACCAGCCTGTGAGTGTGAGCAGGAAGTGGGGGGAGGGAGGAGGAGACCAAGCAGCATCAGGGAAGCAGGAGCAGCACCCAGCAGGGAGAGAATCCCCAGGGAGAGTTCCTGGGAGAGCTGGTCAGCCAGCTCTGCTAGGGCCAGTGGACTGGAGAGAGACTAGGTGAGTGAGTAGGGCCTGAGGACCGGACAGCGACCGTCCCCATCGGAGCATCAGACAGAAGCTGTGTGTGTGCCACTTATGAGGGCCAGAGGAAACAGGAAGGAGAGAGGACAGGTGAGGGACCGTGATACCAGCAGAATGAAGAAAACGAAAGCAGGAGATCTGTGGCACTTCTTTCCTCATGAGTAATAAAAGGAGGATAGGAGGTGTTTTAAGGAAGTGGCATAAGCCCAGTCAGTTCTCGAGCAGCCAGTGCAAAGCCGTATCCAGAATATATTAGGGATAATGGGGCCACTGGGACTGGGGGCCTTCCCAGTTCATGGCCACGTCCGAAGCATTGTAAGTGGTGGGCCCCTGCAGGTACCGTGCTGATGGTCGCCTCTCTTGCTCAGGCCTGCAGCTTGCTGCGGACATGGCCAGCCTTCAGACCCGCATTGACTGGGGTCAGAGCCAGCTCCGGGAACTCCAGGAAAAACTCAGGCATCAGGAACGCAGGGCTGTACAACCTGAGACTGCTGCAGCAGGGCAGTGACCACTGTCCTTCCAGTGACGCCCATCTCAATGACCACTGTCCTTCCAATGACCCCCTGTCTCAGTGACCAGTGTCCTTCCACATGACAGCCACCTCAGTGAACAATGTCCTTCTACATGACCCCCCCCCCGTCTTAGTGACCAATGCCCTTCCACATGTCCCCTGTCTCAGTGACACGGCTGTCCTTCCATGTGATCTTTGTCTCAGTGACTGGTGTCCTTCCATGTGCCCCCCCTTAGTGACACAGCTGTCCTTCCATGTGGCTCCCCATGTCCGTAACATGCCACATGACCCCTATCTCAGACCTCTCTCCTATATTGTCTGTACCCCCCACACAGCTAAATCTCTAATGTTTCTCTTGTCTGCACCTCTTTAACTTTGTTGAATAAACTTGAAACGTTTAAAGACATAAACTGAGGTTGAAAGCCCTTACTGTGAAACTTATACATTTGTATTTTTCAAAACACACTTACTTGGTTTTGGTTTTTGAGCCACACCCAGCAGAGCTCCTGGCTCTGCACTCAAATAGAAGCCATTCCTGGTGGGTTCAGGGGACCATATGGGGTGCCTGGAATTGTACCTGGGTGAACTGTGTGCAAGGCAAGTGCCGTACCCACTATACTATCTCCAGCCCTCTCAGGACTCATGGGGGCAGTTCAGGTTAGTGAACAACTAGAGCCACTTACCAGGTAAATTAACTATGCATTGATTATGGGATGGATGGTGTCCACTAGGGCAGGAAAGTACAAAGAAGTCAGTTCTCATTTTCACTAGTTCTTCAAAACTGATTTTGGGGTGTAGAGAGATGGTACATCAGGTAAGGTGCTTTCCTTGAATGTGGCAAACATTCAAGGATTCTATCCCCTAAACTTTGCCAGAAGTAATCCCTGAGTTCAGATACAGAAATAAGCCCTGATCACTGTCAGGTGTGCTCCCGCCCCCCTGTTCCCCCCCCCCCAAAAAAAAAGATTTGGGGCCGAAGAAATAGTGCATAGGATATGGTGTTAATCTTGCACATGGCTGACCCAGTTTCAGTCCCCCCATCACTGCTTAAGATTCCCTAAGCACCACTAGGAGTGATGCTGGACACTGCTTGGATGTAGCCCAAAAATCAAACAAAAAAAGGACTTTGATGAAGAAAATGTCATACAATAGCAAATTAGCAATGTGATTTCCTGTCAGTAAAAAATGCCAAACAAGACAAGGAAGCCCACCTTGCCAATCCTATTCAATATAGTACTAGAAGTACTTGTCATAGCAGTTAGGCAAGAAAAAGAAATCAAGGGCATCCAAATAGGAAAGGAAGAAGTCAAGCGTTCACTATGTGCAGATGGCATAATAGTATACTAGGAAATCCTAATCTACGAAAAAGCTAGAAACAATAAGTTTGTCTAGTAAAGTGGCAGGCTACAAAATCAATAACCAAAAGTCCATGGCTTTCCTATACACAATTAGTGAAACAGAAGAAACATATTAGAAAAACAATCTTGTTCATAATTGTGCCTCAGAAAATCAAGTACCCTGGAATCAGCTTAACTGAGGAAGTGAAGGACCTATTCAAAGAAAACTACAAAACCCTAATTCAAGAAATAAAAAAGGGCCATCTCAGCACACCAACAGCCCTCGTCCAGGGACGCAGCAACCAGTCCTGGAGAGCACCACAGCCTCAGAGATCCCTCCAGACCTTAAAATTTCGCCAGGCACCTGAGATGAGATGGAGCAGGTGCAATCTCCCAACGTACTCCAGATGGAACCCTGGTGACCAAGAGCTTCCACAAGCAAGGCTCAGGTATGAGGGTTCAGGACTAAATTTCCAGGCCACATGGCAGCAGAGGTGCCAGGCAGTCCCACCCAGCCGGCTCTCTGCGGCCATGTGAACTCTCATGATACTCAAAGTAAGCAATGAAAAATAAATTATCTGATGTCTGCCCCTGGCAGGCAGGCTTGAATGGTGGTGGGAAAATTCAGGAAAAACATAATGCCCAAAAGTAGAGAGAGAGTATTGGGGAAATTATCTGCCAGAGGCAGGATGAGAACTGGGATGAGGGGTGGGGGATACTGGGGACATTAGTGGTAGAAAATAAGCACTGGTGGAGGATGGGTATGGGTTCAATCATAGTATGGCTGAATCTCAAACATGAAAGTTTTGTAACTATCTCATGGTGATTCAATAAAATTTTTAAAAAATTAGAAAAAAATAAAAGAGGACATGGGGAAATGGACAAGTATCCCCTGCTCATGGATCAGGAGGATTAACATTGTCAAAATGGCAATACTCTCCAAAGTATTATACAGATTCAATGCAATGCCTCTAAGGATACCCATGACATTTTTCAAAGAAATAGATCAAAAGTTCCTGAAATTCAATAAACAGTAAACCCCCATGAATAGCTAAAGCAATCCTTGGGGAAAGAAGATGAGAGGCATCACCTTCCCCAACTTCAAACTGTACTACAAAGCAGTAGTAATTGAAATAGCATGATATTGGACTAAAGACAGACCCACAAACAAACAATAGAGTATCCTGACATAGACTCTCAAATATATGATCATTTAATCTTTGATAAAGGAGCAATAGGAAGTGGAGCTAAGAAAGCACCTTCAACAAGTGGTGCTAAAAAACTGGGCAGCTACATGCAAAAAATGAACACAGACCTCTATGTCATGCAAAAAGGCTTAAAAAGGATTAAAGACCTCAATATCGGACCTGAATCCATAAGGTACATGGAGAAAAATGTAGGCAGAACACTCCATGTCAACTGAAGCTAACGGTATTTTCAAAGATGAAACAATACTGGCCAAGCTGAAGCAAAGATAAATGAATGGGACAGCTGTGCCTCAAAAGAGGTGACCAAGATAACAAAGACAGCCCACGGAATGGGAAAAATTGTTACCCAATACCCATCTGATAAGCGGTTAATATCAAAGATATTTAAGACACTGATAGACTGTTACAAGAAAAAAAAATTCAACCCTATCAAAATATGGGGGGGGAAAAAGAACAGAATCTTTCTCAAAGAAAAAATATGAATAGCCAAAAGGCACATGAAAAAAAATGCTCTCCATCGCTGATCATTAGGGAGATGCAAATCAAATCACATACCATAAAGACTGGCACCTATCAAAAAGAATAAGAAAACCAGTGGTGGCGCAGATGCTGGGCGAAAGGGACTCTCATTCATCGTTGTGGGAATGCTGGCAGGTCCAGCCCCTTTGGAAAATAATATGGGCATTCCTCAAAAAACTAGGAATTGAGCTTTCATACGACCCAGCAATACCACTTCTGGGAATATACCCTGGGAACCCAAAACCCCACAGCAGTAAAGCCTCTGGACATTTATGTTCACTGAGCACTATTCAAAATAGTGAGAATCTGGAAACCTTAATGCTTGAGGACAGGTGACTGCATAAAGAAACTGTGGTACATCTACACAACGGAATAATACACAACCAGGAAAAATGAAGTCATGAAATTTGCTTATAAATGGATGGACATGGAGAGTATCATGCTGAGTGTAATAAGTCAGAGGGAAGACAGAATGATTCCACTCATTTGTGGAATGTAAAAAGAAAAATAGTATGAGACTAATACCCAAGGACAGAAAAAACGGGGGCCAGGAGGACTGGTCCTTGGTTGGAAGCTTGCCACAAGTGGGGAGAGGCGGGGGGAAGAGTCAGTTAGGCTAGAGAAGGTACCACTGTGACAATTATTTCTAGAAATGATCACTCTAAACAAGAATTGAGTGCTGAAAATAGGTAAGGTGACAAACACGATAACCTTTCAGTACCTATTTTGCAAACCATAATGTCCAAAAGGGGGGTGGGGGAGGGGAGAAGAAAAGTGCCTGCCACAGGGGCGGGGGTGGGACAGGAGGGAAACTGGGGGATATTGGTGGTGGGGAAATGTACACTGAAGAGACGGGTGTTATATGACTGGGTCCAATCATGTACAACTTTGTAACTGTGTACTTCATGGTGATTCCATAGAAATATTAAATTTTTAAAAAAGCAAACAAAAAAACACCAGTAGATAGGCCTCCCTCAGCGGGTTTTGAACCATAAACTAAAGATCTGAGCTAAATTTTCAAGGAAACTCTAGGCAAAGGCTTTTGCATTTTTGTTGTTCTTGTTTTTTAAAACTATCTTCCCAGCAATGAGAGTAAGCCTCTTTTTAATTTATTGAAAGGCTAATTGCATTTCCTGCGTGGGACTCTGCATTTGTTTTGACTTCCTGCTGGGTTGTTGATATTTTTTTAGCAATTTTTCCTAGGATTTATCTTTGAGTCTGGCAGAAATTAGTTCTGTGTTCTTATTATGAGATGTAAATATTTATAGTTTGTCTTGTAATTTTTCTTATGATGGTTTTAGAATATTTTAAAATAAATGCATTGCATTAAACTGCACTGAATAATTGCTAGTTTCGTAAACACAGTGAAAGCTATAGTAACCTCGTATTTTTACTTTTTTCTCTTTTGGAATTTTGGCCAGACCTGGTGATGCTCGGGTTGCTCCTGGCTCTGCATTCAGAGGTCACTTCTGGCAAGTTCCTGCACTCAGATATCACTCTTGGCAAATTCAGGGAACCATATGGGATGTCAGGGATAGAACCCAGCTTGGCTGAGTGCCAGGCCAGCAGCCTACCACATGGCTCCAGCCCCACCCTTGTGTTTTTTCAATCAAATTTCTTTTTTTTTTCTTTCTGTTTTTATTTTGAGCTGTGCTCAAGTCCGTCTCTTGGCCCTGCATTTGAGGATCATTCCTGACAGTGCTCAGATGACCATATGCAGTGTCAGGGATAGAACCCAGGTTGACTGCATGCAAGAGATGCTACACTACCTCCTGCCCTTAGTTATAATTTCTTTATTAGTTTTTAGGGTTTTGTTCTATTTGGGTGCCACATCCTGCGATCTTCAGCGTTGACTCCTGGCTCTGTACTCGGATTAGTTCTGGCGGTGCTGAGGAACCATATGGGGTGCCGGGGATTGAATCTGGGTCTGTTGCATGCAAGATGAAAGCCCTACTTGCTATACTATTACTCTGACCTAACAGTCAGATTCCTGAATAG